GAGAGGCGAAGGAGAGCCCACCACGCGGCGGCGCTTAAAGAACGGGAAAGGAGCCCCGGACCGGGAGAGGAAGAGCAGAGCGGGAGGGTGGCGCCCCCGCACCGGGAATCAAACGGGAAGGGGAGAGAGAGAGAGAGAGGTCGGGGCGCCCGGCTCCCGCCCGCTCTCTTTCCCCCGGGGGGGGGGAACAGACGCGGGAACGAGGGGGATTCCCTGTTGCCGGGAAGCGAGACTGGTCGTAGAGGGAGGGGGGTCAGGAAAAGCCATGCACGGCCGCCGGCGTCTCTCGCCCGGGACCACCACCACCACCACCCCCGAGAGGCGGGAAGGAAGGAGTTGCCGCATCCGTCTGCCGGCCGAGGGCTGCCCCCCGCCCCGTCCCCGGGAGAGCCGCTCCTTCACTGACCTGCTGCGCTCCGAAGGGGGTTCGCATTTCTTCTTTCTCTCCCCCCCACCCCTCCGGCCCCCAGTGATAAAACTCCCCGGCGCTGGTCTCCCTCCTCTCTCCTCTCCTGCCGCCCCGTCTGCCCCTCTCTGGTCTCCGCCTCCTTCTCCAGCCAAAACCAGCGCGAAAAATCCCTCTCGCTGATTGGCTCTCGCCCCCTTCGCGCCGCAACCTCCTAAGCGGGTCATTCAAACCAGCCGCCCAGCGAGCGTCGAAGTCGCTCACGCGGCAGAGCGCAGGCGGAACCGAAATTGCTCCGGCCCGGGAGTGGGTGCGGAGGGAGGGGGGGGCGTTGTTTCTTATTTTGCCTACCGGCCGACGTTTCACGAACGGAAATGTTTGCGAAACGTTCTTCCTCACCCAGCCCCGAGCAACATGCCGCAGAATTCTTGCCTTTACATTTCTTTGAGGATTTTATATCATTATTTCTTCCCATAATCGTCCGCACCATTTAAAACACTATGGAGTGTGACTAACAAATAAATGTATTAAGAGAACCGTCACTAAAACTGAAAAAACAGTTAACAGATTTATCCGACACTCCTCTGGATTTACCTGCAAATAAATCTCTACATTATTAACATAATAAAGGTATACCTGTGCTTCCCTGTCTTTCAAACTTAAAATTTATTTATTTATTCTATTTATATCCCACTTATCTGGTCAATTAAGACCACTCTAGGCGGCTTACACCATAAAATACAGGAATAAATATAAAAAGATTATTATACAATAGACAAATTCAACAAGATGGAGAGCAAACAAAGTAAATCACAATAGAGAAAGAAAAGGAAGCAACAGTAAAAAGCCTGAACTGGAGACACTGGTAGAAAAGTCTCCACCTCTGCTTATAAAGAACAGTGTACGTGCAAGATATGTCTGCTTAAAAAGATCATGCCACAAAGAAAGTGATAATTACAATATCCGTTCTATAAAAGACAACGGTTGAATGTGGCTTTTAGCTAGATTTTAATTTCAGCACCTCTTTTTAGAAATAAAACACATCCAATTCAATCAATTTTTATTCAGAAATAATTAACATTTAGTTCAATATAACTTGTATGGACGTAATATTGCTGCCTGATTCAGGCCATTTGGACTAATATCAGTTTCTGGTACTTCCAGATCAGCCCAAGCTTTTACTGTTTGAAGCAGGACATCAGATGTGCCCCACCCAATCCAAGACGTACAGCATCCAAAACTGCAAAACTATTTTGGCACTTGAAACAGAAAATCTAATAGGAGTCTTCCCTCCTAGAGTAAAGCAATATAAACAATAAATCAAATGCCCAACAGTGGTCTTTTGCTTAAATCTGTTACAGAAACTCATACATAAAACAGGATCTTCAGAAATATCTACTATTGCTGTTTTAGTAAGAGAACACTTTAAGCTTCCTTCTGTCAACAATATATCATGATTTTAAGCATGACTCTGCAATGCACTAACGTTTTATGTAATTACTTTGGGCCATATTAAAAATACAGTACACTAATATTGCTTCTCGGGCAATCTACACAATTTGATTTTCAGTTTTAAGTCATAATCAAATGTTATCACACTTCTCTCACACGCTCACTCATTGTCTCCAAATCCTTATTTGCCCCCGAAATCCCCTTTTAATTATTCATACTGTACTTCGATAAGCAAATTACAGTCTTCTTTTATGTTGTGCCCCTGACTGCTTTGTTAAAATATCTTTTGCTCTGCTATTTCACATCTAAGTTACTGGCCAAAGAACTGTGTGTGTAAGGCAAATGGACAGCAGGTTTTCTCTCCTTTTGGCTTCATTTTGTACATTGGGGGATGCAATGGTTGTAACCACAGTTGTACAATCTCTGCAACATCAGCTGTCTGACACAGCGGAGGAAAAACTTACACAATTACCATCAAGCAATTACATAAACAAGATTATGTTTTCTATTAATTTCATAATATTTTGATAGCTTTGATGCTTTGAGTGTGTGCATGTGCACCATTTTGGAAAATGTATTTGAAAAACTGTACATGAAAAGTGTATGGGGAAAAATGGAGAGTATAGAGAGCGATTCCCATTCTTCATACTGACTCATTTACCACATCCTCTCTTTCTCTTAGGAATGCAGAGAATTTCAGATAGTTAAGAGTGACCAATTTGTTTCCTCTAGAGCAGGAGAGGACAAACAGCAGCTCTCCAGGTGTTGGGTAGGAATTTTACTCACTCTTGTTAGATGGGAAAGGGAATCCCCTCCCCCAGCTCTAGGAAAGTGATTCCCAGGACTCACATGTGAATCACAGGCCAATGTAACAAAGGCGATAGCAGCAGTACTAGCCATTGGTGATTTATGCCTATATTAATGAAATTGTGTATGTTTCAGTGGTGAATTACCAGTAAATAATACAATTGCACTCCTGGTGCACATCAGGGCAGATGCTCTGACAGACACACAGAAATGCACTTTGTTAATTAGAGGCTATCTACAGTTATGACTTCTGCAATTTCACCTATGCAAGCATAGCTCACCAGTTGGATGCCAACCATTGTATTAAATAAAAATACTAAGCCACCTGGCTCTATAAACAATGAAAAAATGGAAGAAAACTCCTCTAGAGCAGTGTCATCTACCTCAAGATGGTACTGTGCGAGAGAAAGCAGTTTTGTTATTCTGAGTACTGTAGGGAGGTTTTCTCCCTGCCGTGGGAGAGGTAGTTGGAAGATACCGTATGTGGCAATACAGAAATCATAGGGTAGTTGGCTTTGCTTCGGGAGGAAGAGAGGCAAAGCAACGCGATGCCTTCCCTGTTCTCCTGCACCATTTATTTCCGTCATCTTTGCTGCTCAAAACATAACAAAAAAGCATCCCCAATGATAACACAGGAATTTCCCCCATCTCTCTTACCTATTAATTATATCGATATAGGCCCTGAAGTAAGAGATGCTTCCCTCACTCCCAAACTCAGTGCTGCATTTCCTCATCCTGAACCAGGGGGGGGGGCAGAATGTTGGAAACATTATTCTACCGCTAACCTCATCTGGAACACTGTACTGTAGTCTGGCTCCACTATAGTGTGTCCCCCATCCAGACTCTTAAAAGCCATCACTCTGACCACAGAGGGAATATAACATCTGGGTGCCTCTCCATTGTGACCCCCCCCATCAGCTCAGGACGGAAATTATTTTTTCTCACCTCTCTCCATATCCTTTATTCCCTTGATGCTGTGTCTTACATTTTAGACTGTACACCTGAGGGCAGGGCAGTTTTATAACTTATATTATCTCCTCTGACAGTGTGTGTGTTTTTTTTTGTTTTGTTTTGTTTTTTGGCTGAATGTTCAGGGTTTAAATGCAATAAATAAAATAATAAATGGGTAGGAATTTCAAATATACATTTTAAAAATATATTCTTAAAATTTAAAAACTAGAAAGAAAAAACAAATCCACATAAGACCTGAGGTAGTGTTTCTATATGGGGGCTTTTCATGCTAACAACTAGAAGGCACTTTCCAGCTGTTCATCCCCACCCCCCAACAAATTATCCATAGTAAGAAAAAGATTAAATAAATTTTGTTAAAATGAAGGATGGCTATGAGCGGATAATGTGCAGCTATTTTGATGTCATGCAAATCCACTGTTAATGTTAGTGATTGTGGCAGGGCAGTAAAACAAGTGTTTTCAGACTAAGATTTTTATAATGCCATTATGCTGCCTCGTACACTGAGCTTTAGAAGAGCTTCAGACATAATCCTCTACTTGCAGTCTTGATTTTCCACAGCATTTATTATTTTCCCCTAAGTGCCCTCAGAAAGAAAGGCAGTTGCATACTGCATCGTTAGCATGGCCTTGAAATATCATTCACCAAAGTGTGCATGGGAATCTAAACAATGGCATCTTTCCAATTACAGGCCTATTTTCCTTTTCTCACCGAAGACATAAAGGAAAAGGCCACAAGGCTATTTATTTATTTGTCTTACGGTATTTATTTCTCCCGATAATTGCTGGACGACTCCTTTTAACAGTGTGCTTGCTGATGGAGGGCCCCTACTGCTCGCAACTAAGACATTTAACAATTAATCCATCATTGTTCTTTTTGGTAAGACGCAAGAACCAAAACACGGTAGAACTGAGGAAGTCGTCGTCTGAAACATCTGCCATTTCTCCACGATCAAGGCAGCAAGATTGCAGCGGGCTCCCTTTGCTGTGGAGAAATCACCTCTGCGACAGAGAATCCATGAAGGAAAAAAAAAGAGGTGCAAGCGCCGCACCGTCCCTTCGGGGTTGGCAGCATGAGGAGCTCTGCCTTCGGGGAAGCATTTCGGGGAGAGAACGGCTTTTGTCTCGGCTTTGACGCGGAGAAAGGCTGGCTTCCTTGTTGCTGTGGGTGGTGGTGGTCCTGCATGGTTTCCTATGGGGGGGGAGAATTATCACTTCCGCTCCAGGAGACCCACGCGTGTGTTCAATCCTGAAACCAGGCATTGCGTGAATCGAAATCGCCCACGGCCTCGGGCTTGAATTCTCCCAGGCCAACTCGGATGGGTGGCGTCAATGGGGCCAGGACACGAACTCCCCTTCAGCCGCGCCTTCCTCAGCCCGCCCGCTCGCCCGCCTGCCTGCCATTCAAGGCCCATTCAAGGCTCCCCGGCTCCTCCCAGCGTGCAAGCCGGGGTAAGGCTTCCCGTCACATGGGCCCGGCGGCGGCGGCGGCGGAAAAAGGACACGGAGGCTTCAGGGAGGCCGCGCCGGCTCGGTCCGCCTGCCTGTTTTGGTCTTTGCCTGCTGGGGCCTGCGGCTCTCGCGAAGGAATGGCGTTCGTGCTCCTGACCCGTTGTGGGCGAAGGGCTGCCGGCCTCCCCAGGCGGGTGAACTGGGACCCTGAGGCTGGTAAGGTGGTGGTGCTGGTGGGGGTTACGGTCGTGGCCGCTGGGAAGACCAGCTCGGGGCCCTCCAAGTGGTGGTGGTGGTGGGGGGGCTTGGATGCTTCCTGGTCGTCCCCGGGGACC